TCAAAAGCCTTTGCATAGTCAATGAAGCACAGATAGACATTCTTCTGGTATTCTCTGCTTTCTGCCAAGATCCATCTAACATTAGCTATAATATCCCTAGAACCACAACGTCTTCTAAATCCAGCCTGCACATCTGGAAGTTCTCTGCTGACATATTGTTCCAAGCGTTTTTGGATAATTTGCAGCAGAATCTTGCTTGCATGTGATATCAATGATATTGTTCGATAATTTCCACACTCTGTTGGGTCACCTTTCTTTGGAATGGGAACAAATATCGATCTCTTCCAGTCAGTTGGCCAGCTGGCTATCCTCCAGATTTCCTGGCACAACTTAGTGAGCACCACCAGGGCAGCTTCTGTTTGTTGAAATAAATCAATTGGTATGCAGTCAGCTCCTGGAGCCTTGTTTTTTCGCCAATTCCTTCAGAGCAACTTGAATATCCTCCTTCATCACCATAGGTTCTTGCTTATGTTATTTCATTAAATTCCTCTGTGTCAGCCAATTCCTTCTGATACAGTGACTCTATGTACTCCTTCCATCTTATTTTTATACTTCCTGGATCATTTAACATTCTGCCCAAATTATCTTTAAGTATTGCCACCCATAGCTCGAATTTGTTTTTCAACTCCTTCAGCTTAAGGAACGCTGAGTGGGTTTGGCCCTTTTGATTTTCTGACTCCAGCTCTCTGCACATTTCATTATAGTATCTTGCTTTGTGGTCCCAAGCTGCCTTTTGAAATTTTCTGTTCAGCTCTTTGATTTCTTGATTTCTTCCTTTAGCTTTGGCTTCTCGGTGATCTAATGCAATACTCAAGAATCTCATCTGACATCCATCTTGGTCTTTTCCTCTTCTTCAGCCTTTGTAATGATCTTTTGCATTCTTCATGGATGATTTTCTTGATATCCTCCCAGAACTCATTTGGTCTATGCTCATTGGTGCTCCAGGCCTCAAACCTGTTCCTGAGATGGTTTTGAAATTCGAGTGGGACAGAGTTAAGGCCAAATCTTGGTTCCTGTGGACTTTTAATTTTCCTCAACTTCAGCTTGAACTTGCATATGAGTAGGTGGTGGTCTGTCCCACAGTCAGCACCTGGCCTGGTTTTCACTGCTAATATTGAGCTTCTCTAGCGAGTCTTTCCACAAATGTAATCGACTTGATTCCTATGCATACCATCAGGAGAGATCCATGTGTATAGCCTGAGTTTATGTCTCTTATAAAAGGTATTTGCGGGAAGTAATGGTGGCATAGTGGCAAGGAGCTCTGACATCCCAGAGGCGCACAGTTCGAATCCACCAGATGCTCTGCTGAGGAAGGAGGGACAATCTCCTCCTGTACCAGTCAGATCTGATCTGATGGTACACTCACACACACAAAAAAATAAAATAAAAAAATTTTTTAAAAAAAGGTATTTGCAATGAATAAATCATTGAATGTGCAGAACTCTTATCATTCTATCTCCAGCCTCATTTCTCTCACCGAGCCCGTGTTTTCTAGCTACTGATGCTCAAGAAAACAACGATTCTCACCACTGTGCCAATTGGCAGCATCAGTATGGATGATGAAGAGATTGAGATTTAGTTTACTTGGCTCCACAGTCAACACTCTTGGTAACAGGAGCCAGGAAATCAGGAGTCGAATTGCATTGGGAAAGTCAGCTGTGAGGGACCTCTCAAGGGTACTGAAGAGCAACGACGTCAGGCTGGAGACTAAGGTGTACCTGATCCAGGCTATAGTCTTTGCAATTACATGCTATGCATCGGAGGGTTGGACAGTGAATAGGGATGATAGAAAGATAATTGATGCCTTTGAGCTGTGGTGCTGGAGACGAGTGTTGAATATACCATGGACTGCTAGGAGAACAAACAGGTTTGTCCTGGAGAGGGTGAAGCCAGAGTGTTCCCTGGAGTCAAGGATTCTGAAGCTTCGTCTGACATACTTTGGGCATGTTGTAAGAAGGGACTGGTCCTTGGAGAGGGACGTCATGTTTGGGAGAGTGGAGGGATGGCGCAGGAGAGGAAGACCTTCGATGACATAAATCGATTTTGTGAGTGGAGCGGTGGGAATGAGTGTGTTTGAGATGGTGAGGTTAGCACAGGATAGAACGGTGTTTAGGGCTCTTGTACATAGGGTCACTATGAGTCGCAAGCGGCTTGAAGGTACATAACAACAACAAGAAGTTAACAACACCTAAGAATGGTCCTGCCTAGGACAGGTCTGTTAAGATTTTCCTTTCCCTCTTATAGCAGGATGCTGCTCTAACAGAGTGAAGCATGGAGCAGGAGAAAAAAGGGGAAACAAGAATTTTAGTATTTGAAATGACAGCCAGTTTATCCATTGCACACACCACTGTATTAAGCAAATCAACCTTTTGGAAAATTTAAACACAGATGGGAACTGGACAGTTTCCCCCTAGAGAGATGAAAAGCTTTTTGGCTCTTAAGTCTTTGGTAAAAGGCATATATAATTCTTGTGTCTACAGAAACTGAACTTTGATAAATATTCATAGTTGTAGAGGAGCTTCAGGCCTTTTTGTTCATAGGGTTGCCATGAGTCTTGCTTGACTCAAAGGCAATCAACAACTGTACAGAATACTGCCTCTAGCTGGATTTTCGAATTCTTAGGGGCTAACACTCTGTAATCCATATAGGGCTTTACCCCACTGTCTGGTCTTTGTTCTAGAAGTCACTCCTCTTGGGATTGTGATATCCTTGGGTCAGCAGACGTTTCTCTTCATCTCCCCTCCCGACTCTCCACTTGCCCATTATTAATTGTTTCTTGGTATCAATCCTGGCAATTCAGCTCCCTCCCTAGGATCTGCCTTGCCTTACAGCTTGCTTAACAGAACACGGCCCCTTTTTTCCAGAGGTCTACACTGAGGGTGTGGGCCAAGTTCTGAAAGGATATGAACACGATGCCAATAAAATTGAACAAGAACAAACAACCAAAAAACAAAAAAGAATGGCCCGGCCTAAAGAAAATTTTCCCACCATTTTCTTGCTCTGGTTTTTTTTGTGATCCAAATGGCAGCTTTTGAATACCTAAGATCTTTACCTACATTACACTTTTAGCCATATAAAAAAATGTCATTTCTAGAAATTAAAAAAAAAAAAAAGATTTTTTGGTGGGTGTGATGGGAGAGTAAGTGTTATACCGAAGGGAAAAAAAATACACAATCAACAGTGAATGATTCTACAAATCTTAGATGTGTCATCTATAAACAAAGCCATCCTTATGTACCTCATAGGGATGTTCACTCAACAAACAACTAATATATATACTTAGGATTAAGTATACTTAGGTTAAGTATGTGAAAACACAATATCCTCTATATTAAAAAGACCATAAAATTACAAGCTATTATAATTAGCACTCTGGCATAGTCCTTAGAGAGTTGCTCTTATTACAAACTGATGGTCCTTAAGAGGAACAGTGTCACTTTGAGTCGTATTCGACTCAACGGCATCTAACAACAAGAGGAAAACCAAAAGCCTATTCAAACTTTTTTAGAACTTATTTTTCTTTTACACTGGTCTGTATACAAAATTCGTTTATAGTTTCATTCACATACACGTTATTTCACACATTCCTTCATTCATTTTATACAATCATTCCCACACATTTGTTTTATAGTATCAGTCACCATCAATCTGTGCCCACTATTACCCTGTCTTTTCACGTTTCCACTGAATTTTACTTGCTTTCTTCACCCCCTCCCCCACCCACCCAACACTGTGAACCCATGATTTTCCCTGCTCCTCACCCTCAGCTTCCTCCCTTGAGGCCCTTGCACACATCCTGCTAGTCATCCTTCTATTTTTACAATGGTCTCTTATGCAGTAATTCTCCTTATGAGACTCAATTAGTTCAATGAGCATAATGCTCGTCAACCTATCTCATGTAACATAGTATTTTTCAAAATCATTGCACCTGAGTGCAATTCCATTGCGTGAATGTATCAGTTTCTCAATCCATTCATTTGTTGATGGACATCTGGGCAGTTTCCATTTTCTTATGATGGTGAGTAATGCTGCTATGAAAATCAGTGTACAAATCTCCATTTGTGTCTCAGGTCTACTTCCTAGATGTGTATTCCTAGCAGATAGCTCATATGCAATTTCTATGTTGAGCTTATTGAGGAAACACCAGAGTACAAGACTTCCAGAGTACTTGTACCATTTTAGAATCCCCACCAATACTGTATGAAAGTTCCAATCTCTCCATATCTTTTCTAACATTTATTGTTTTGCTGTCCTTAAAAAGTTAAACTTTATAATTATCATAAGAGTTCTGAATGAGAGTTGCAGAGTGGAGTATACTCGGGGTGGGGGTGGGAGAGTGCGGGGGGATTGTATACCAATGAAGGAGTTTTTCTTTTGCTTTTCAAGGAGAAGAAAGAACTGGAGGTGAGGGTTGGGTGGGCGGGGAGAAAAGTGCAACAATGAACGAATGGAAATCCACAATCTCTGTAAATGTTCAATGAAATTAATTTTTAAAAAAAAGTTAAACTTTGTCACTGCTACTGGAGTGAAATGGTATCTGATTTGCATCTCTCTTACTGGCAGTGATTTTGGGCATTTCATCACACATTTTAATGGCTCGTTTTCCATATTCACACTAACGTAAATTATATTAAGGAACCTTCAGAATGAACATTTTCATTCAATTTTCTTTTTCCAAAAAGAGCTGTGTTTTTACTGTAGCTCAATGACTCTGTTATTCTCTCTCTTATGGAATCTGGGGATGTTATTATTCCCTCAGACTTTTATGGATCTCAAAGGCAAGTTATTAAATAAGAAACCGTTGTTAAAATGACCAGTAGGTAGAACCAGGATCCAAGGAAAAGAATGTGACAGGATCTAAAAAGTAGTTTCAGACATAGAAAAAAATTTATTTTCTTATGTTTAAAATAAAGATTTTTTTGGGGGGGAAATTTTACACAGTATTATAATTTTCAGTGTAGCTTCTTAATCTATTAGAAATTTTTTCAAAATCAGCATTTTCAGGCAGCATCTGTGTTACTTTCTGTGGTTTCTACTTCTTTAGGCAGCAAAGGATCGATCTTTAATAATAAACCTTCACTTGTTGAACTACGAAGAAAAGCACGTACCACAAAGGGTCCTAGAAAGAAATACAAAAATCAACTTTTACTTTATTCCATAGACACGTATGAAGTAAATACAAGTATGCCACCAAAAAACCCCTTATTGAATCCATGACATATTTTTATTTGAAAAACACTGATATCATTGAACTTTGAAATTAATTTTTATAAAACTATGGAAAACTATTCCATTTCTAGAGGAGAAAGAAATTAGCTTATACTTTAGGATACCAGAGATTTGTCCTTGGAACTACACATACTCACTAATAATTCATTTCTTTCTTCCAGAAGATAATCACATAGAATTTACTTTACTGCAAAGTCAACAGTGAGGGGAGCAGGTGCTGATATTCACATTTGATGAAAATATTCTAAATATTTATTTAAAACAGCCAGCACAGATGCTACCTTTGTGACATCAAATATTGAGTGGAATTCCCTAAAAATGAAGTTTTCATAAGAACAAAATTAAGGGGCTCAATTTGAAAAGGCCCAAAAAAGAATATTTTGAGAGGTTTTACTCTGCATCATTATATGCCTAATAGTGAGGATTCGATACAGAAATCAATTTTCCATGGAATGTAAGAATCCATATTTACATTGTTACTAAATAATATGGCCATGTTTCAATAATGACAACAGAAATAACCAATGATATATTTATTCAGTGTGTTTCAGTCTCACAGAAAGGGAAGAAAAATAGCTTAAGGTTGAGTATTAAGTATAAATTTGGTCATAAAACTGCACTTATAAGTGCATTCAATAGGGATCCTTACTTGGCTTCACCCACACGTGAACCTGAATGACACAATGAAAATGACAATGAGCTATCGACTATTCCTAGCCAACTAGACCCACATGGCTCAAGCTTATACATCTTAATCAAGTCAAACTGTTTTCCAGAAATTATCCCACTTATAACAACTGACTCTCAGGAAATGATGAAATCATTATTCTTTTAAAAAAATGAATGAAGAACCAATTGCTAATGTTACTTACAAAGAGAATGGTGTGGCTTAAAAACTATAATTTTATAAATCCTTTTAGTTATTATTTAACACTATTATAAGATTAAACTAATCAGTTTGCTATCAAATTTTGTTACATTTAACGATAGAATTAATATGATTTGCAAAGTTGCAAAATGGATTCCTTCTTAACATTAAAACAGGAGACCTCATCTCTGGACAAGTACAGTTAATGAATAAGGTAGCAAGAAATCTTTTGGAGAATTAAATATCACTATTTATTCACTGGCAATATTGATGCTATTGTACTTGTAAATCAATGTGTGTTTTCTTAATATTTTATATTTTTATAATATTACTGATGGGCTATACTGAAGTCTACCTTCAGAGAATACTTACCCAAACTCAAGGGTCTGTGCGTACAAACATCATTGATAACAGCTTGCAGATTGGCAGCTATCTGATCACTTGACATATCCAGCTGAAAGAAAGTGATACATAATATCAATGATAGGAAATTGAGATTATAGAATCTGGAGAATTGTTTTCAGTAATTTAAATAGACAGTGTTTTTTAAATGCTACTTAATGAAAATTACCCATTGAGTTATTACTGTGAAAGAAAAATCTCTACATTTCTTTTAAAATTTTACATGTACATGTCTTTACATGCCAGAATTTAATTACCTTATATAAAAAAAAATTACTGCAAAGCTCTTTGAAGTTGTTCCACTGAAGAGTCCTTGACTTTTAAGCAATTTCCCCAAAGAATATATCTGGCAAAATACACCATCTCCTAGTCCTGCTCCAAGGAATTAGTGATCTTTTTCTCTCAAAGTTATTTTTGTTAACTTACTTTAAAGGGAACTAAGCAAATGTTTGCTTTTATGAGTCTGAAATAAAAACCACCTAACTACATGTATTCAGACAACATATCTCTAACATATCATACAGGTAGATATTTTCAGGATGCTATGTTTTAAATTTTCAAACATTTGTGCCATAGCAATTATCTTACCACTCAGCAAAAATTAAATTGTAACAAATAGAGAATGTGTCCCATTCTTTTTTTATTTGTTTGTTTTTTGGTGGGGTTTTCTTTGGTTTGGTTTTGGGCTTTGGTTTGTTTTTTGTTTTGGTTTGGTTTTTTACTTCATTTCTGGGGGTTGGGTTGTTTTTTTGTTGTTTTGTTTTTGGTGACTATGGAAAATATATTTCATTCTTAAATTTCTGAAAGCCGGATTCTACCTTTTGAAAGTCTTGGTATTTATCATTCAAATGAAATAAACATCATTCATTCCATATATGCCCTGTTAAAACCAGTTATATCACATTCCAATGTTTTGAGAATTTTTTTACTTTGTCAAATACATTTTTTTGTCAAATAAATTATTTTCAAATAAATTTTTAAAGTCCATACAAAACATAATAACTTTAACTGTCGAATGTCAATCAGTAAGAGAAGTCAAGTTCAAACAAGATTTCTATTTTCCAATGATGCTGAGACCATTGTGAAAAGTGTGCCATATGAGCATTAAAAAACTTCTGTTGAGGTAAAAATTATTCTTATCAGCATCAGACAGTATTTATTAATTACACACTTGGGCATGAGGTACTGACAGAACCCAAATAGAAAGTTTTGTCATTATTGAAGGAACTTTCACTTTGCAACACTTTAAAAGTGGGACTCCTCAGAGGGGAAAAAAGTCATGCTAATACTTCATGTTGTTAAGTGCCACCAAACTGAGTACAACCCATAGTGACCATATGAACAGATCTGAACTCTGTCTTATCATGTGCCATTCTCATCATCTCTGACATACTTGAGCTGATTGCTTCTGTCACTGTATTCACTCATCGAGTGTCACCCATGGGTTGGTTCTGACTCGATGGTACACTACCACCACCACAACAACATGTAGGTAAAACAATCTTGCTTGCTACAAGTGAAAAAAACTTGAAGCACTTATTAATGAAGCTCAATAGCTATAGCTTTCAGTACACATCACACTTCAACATAAAGGAAACAAAAATCCCTGTAACAAGACTAATAAGCAAAATCATGACAAAGAGAAAAAAGATTGAGGCTGCCAAGGATTTTCTTTTACTTGGATTCACAATTCAGAGAAGCAGCAAGGAAGTAATCAGATAATGTATTACTGCATTAGGGAACAAAGGTCTTGTTACAGTGCTAAAAAACATGCAGTTACCTTGAGGATTTGGATGTTGCATCTGAAGCAAACAAAGGTATTTTAAATCACTTCATATATATGTGAAGGTTAAACAGTGAATAAATAAGAACTGATGCTTTTTTTATTGTAGTGTTTGTGAAGAACTGAACATTAACTGTTTACTTACTTCAAGTCATCCTTTCTATTATCAACTAATCATCGTAGTCCTGTTCATGTTGCATGCCATTTAGTTGACTATGACTCACAGCAACCCTCTGAACAATAGATCTGAACCTCACCCTATCCCTAGCTAAGGTGCTTTCCCCTTGCTAAAGATCAGTTCTAAGTTAAATTAGAAAAGTAACTAATTAAAGGAAAAATCATGTCTAATCTGGTGTTTAACAGTTATAATCTATACTAAATATGTATATAATGTCCCTGATATTTGTAGCTGTTCTTCTGCAGACTTATTTTAATTCTGTCATCTCCAATGCAAGTTAAAATTAATAGCACAGGCTTTAGAAATGCAAAACAATTATCTTTCATTATTAGGATGCCTTTAATGGTTTAACGAATCTATTTTAAGAGAAGTTTTTAAATATGCAAAAATGCTTGAAATACAGCTTAACACTTTTGTCCGTATTTTAAGTGCCTCTTTTCTTTAGATATTTCTTAGGGATGTCTACTACAAATAATTCAAAGGAAAGTTACACGTCTTAGTGGAATTACTGTGATAATTAATATAGCTCTCTATACAAACAAAATACATCCATACATCGTTCTTGTCAAGACTTCTCTAATATTTTGCTGACTACAGTTCTCACCACTGGGCTGACTGGCAACTTTCTGACAGATGGTGAGGAGACTGAGACTGTTAAACACTTTAGTTTGCTTGACTCCACAATCAACACTATTGGTACCAAGAGCCAGGAAATCAAAAGATGAATTACATTGGGAGAGTCAGCTGTCAAGGACCTCTCCAGAGTACTGAGGAACAATATGTCAGCCTGGAGACTAAGGTGGGCCTGATCCAGGCCATAGTCTTTGCAATTACCTGCTATGCATCAGAAAGCTGGCCAATGACTAGAAATGACAGAAAGATAATTGATGCCTTTGGGCTTTAGTGCTGTAGAAGAGTACTGAATATATGATGGACTTCCAGAAGAACAAACAGGTTTGTCCTGGACAGGGTGAAACCAGGCTGCTCCTTGGAGGCAAGGATTCTGATGCTTCGTCTGACATACTTTGGGCATGTTGCAAGAAGGGACAAGTCCTTGGAAAGAGACATTATGCTTGGAAGAGAGGAGGGAAAGCACAGGAGGCAGACCCTCAATGAGATGGATTGATCCAGTGACTGGGGTAATGGGAGTAGGTGTACCAGAGACAATAAGGTTGCCACAGGATATAGAAGGTTTCAGGGCTATTGTACGTAGGGTTACTACAAGTCTCAGGCTACGTCTTAAATATGGATTACGACTCAACATTGAGAAAACAAAATCTTTGCAACTAGACCAACAGGAAACATCACTGACAGAAAAAAGAGTGCAGTTGTCAAGGATTTCGTTTCACTTGGATCCACAATCTATACACATGATAGCAACCATCAAAAAGCCAAATGATGTGTTTCACTTGGAAAATCTGCTGTCAAGGCCCTTTTAAGTGGTAAGTGCAAGGATGTCAGCTCAAAACTGGGGTATCCCTGACCTAAATCATGATACTTTCATTTCCTTCCAATGCATGTGAAAGTTGGACACTGAATAAGGAGAATCAAAGAACTGATTCTTTAGCGGTGGCGGGAGCAAAGTTAAAATCAAATACTGAACTGTATAAAACCAGTATTGTAGAATGAGTATGAGGATTGGTGGGGGAGTAGAAGGGTGAGGACAGGCAGGGATGGGGAGAGGTGCTAATCATAGGGTTGCAGAATTTGATGGCTGGGTGGGTCATTTAACTGTGTGGACCATAATGTTATGGCTAACATTTATAAGAATGGGAATTTCAGAACACTTAATTATGCTTATACAAACATATACCTAGACAAAGAGGTGGAAATGAGAAGGATCTTATGTGAAAAACTAAGCATTCAAACTTTGTAAATTTATCAGTATGTTGTTGTTATGTGCCGAGTAGCTTGCAACTCATAGCGACACTATGTACAACAGCCCTAAACTCTGCTCTGTCCTGTGCCAATCGCACTGTCTCTGACATTCCCATCCCAATTATCCCAGTCACTGAATAAGTCCACCTCATAGAGGGCCTTCCCCTTCTGTGCTGTCCCTCCACCCTACCAAGCATGATGTCCCTCTCCAAGGACCTGTCCCTCCTTACAACATGTCCAAAGTATGTTAGACGGAACCTCAGAATCCTTGCCTCCAAGGAGCCGCTCGATTTGACCCTTTCCAGGATGAATCTGTTTGTTTTCCTAGCAGTCCAAATTTGTATATGTACAAATACATCAGTATAAAATAAAATTAAAAAAAGATATATTAGCAGAACATGGAAATAGCCCAAATGTCCAACCTTAATCGAAAGGATTGAGAAATTATGGGATATTCATACAATGCACTATTACACAGCATGCAGGCCACAATGATTTTGTAAATTACTACCTAACTTGGGAGGGACTAGAAAGCATTACACTAAGTGAAATAACTCCGTTCCATTAGGACAAACACTTTATAAGACACATTACTACAGAATGAGTATGAGGATCCAATGGGAGGAGGGTGGGAACAGAGTGGTGAAGATGGGCAAGGGTGTGGGTGTTAATCAAAGAATCATACAATTTGATGGGTGGAGGGTGGGGTGGGTAAAGGAAATGGGAAAGATCCAGTGTGAAAAACAATGTATATGAACTCTGAAAGTAAACCAATACAAAATAAAAATTTTATTTAAAAAAAATTGAATATTGAACTGGTATTGAATATTCCACAGACTGCTAAAAGAACAAACAACTCTATCTTGGAGGAAATGTGGTTAGAGTGTTCCCTAGAGGCAAGGATGGTGAAACTTCATCACACATACTTTTGAGAACGTTGTCAGAGAAGCCTGTGCTGGGAATAGTGGTGAGTGAGTGAAAGAGAGGAAGACCCTCCACAAGATGGACTGATGCAGTGACTGCAACAATGTGCTTAATTAAGCATGACAGAGATTGTGAGAATGAAGCAGGAAAGAGCAAGGTCTAGAGGGTTGCTCTGGATCATAAGTGACTTGACAAGATGAAACAAGAACTGTCATTGAGCCAAAGAGACATGGCTATCTTCTATTGGATTTCTGAGGCTTTAAATCTTAGCAAAAACAGACTGTCTCAT